TTATAGCTAAAATAATTAAAGCCCGTACACTACATCAGATTTTTATCAGATTGGGTCCAGGCATTTCTAAGATACAGGTCTGGACGCACGCACAGACGCACGCACGGACACACAGAGGTCAAAACATAAGTCCCCGTTTCGGACTTCGTCCGAACGGGGACTAAAAACCTCTCTGTGTATACTATTCGTATTCGTAAGTATAATCATTTTTTAAATATTATGTATAAGGCAGTTATACCCTCTTTAGGATTTATTGTAAAAAAAAATATATCTTTGTTGATTATAAAAGGTCTGCTGAAGACATCTGGTGAACAACCCATCCATGGTTTAACATCCCGAGTCAGTAATACCGGTAATAGTAATAGTCATCACTGCTGGTAGAGCTTGTGTCATAATATACTGTTTCATAGTGTTGAGAATAATCTAAAACATAAAATGAAGTTAATATTTTAATAGTTAATAATGTCTCAGCAAAGTATCACCATCGCCGCCCGCCTCATGTTCAAGTCCCATATGACATATGCTATATTGAGTAAAATGCATTGTTTGCAGTGTATATTTAGTTTAATGTGTCTGCTTCAGTCTACTAATACAGGGTATTATTGGAATAATGAAAATGTACTTGAGATGACCCAATACTACCTAGAAATATATCATTGCATTAAATAACTGCTTGCAATACCGCATGATCACATGTTTTATTTAAAACATGATGGCTGTTGCTTAGAACGCGTTCGAATTTCGTATATATATAAAACACTATATTTTACACACATTGTATACATCACCATGAGCCCCATTTGAACACTACGCAACGTGACAACCACTGCCCTTTACGTATGCTAGTCAAAAAATTAGCCAAATAACCTTGCTAAATAAATTTTAACAAGCAAAAAGTATGATCAGAGTTTTCAATTTCAACCCGAACTAAACAAGTATGTAATTATCCTTAGCCAGTGTACCGAATTTTACTGAATGCCAACGCTTGGCTCTTGCAATATCAGTGGACCTGACAAACTTACATTTAGGTCAAAATGCATGGTCTTTGCATGCAACAGTTAACCGACTAAACATATCAGACAGTTATATCAGTGCAAGTCATCACAAACACTTAAATTTCCATTGGAATGTCAAGTTCAATAAGTTCAATGGAAATATATTACAGTATATCTGACATCATAAATTATCTAGACCAAGGATTATTTCCCTTGGAGGGGAGGGGGTTATTTATAGTGGCAAGTCATAATGCAAAAATTGTCCGGCTTATTTCCAAAACGATTTGCATTTAAATTTATCTTCTGTTTTCAACATGCTTCGCACAGCGTCGTGACCATGCATAGTGTCAAACAAGTGCAACATATTAAAATTAAAAAGAAGCATTTAAAACTGAATCAAAGAAAACTTAGAAAGAACTCCCGTGTGCTGAGAGTATTCGAGACCCATTAAAATTAATTCAAAATTTAAGATTCGCATTTCAAATGAAAAACTTAGCAACTATAATTTTTCTCCTATTTGTGATGCATAACATGAGAACAATGTGATTTACATTATCAAAATTTATAATACATACAGAAAATACATTTTTCTTCCATGGTTTTTAGTCTAATTAATTCAAAAGCACGTCTGTGATGAATTCAATTTAAATCTGATTTTTGTAGATATCAGAAATGGGCTAATAATAGATAGAAAATATTCATGTCATATCATATCTGTGGACTACCTAAATGAACCAAATGAATTATTATACCAAGTAAACATTTATTATGCATAGATTTAGGTCTGTATATTGTTTCAGAACGCACATGTACAAAGTTTTATTATAATGTGATGGTTAATCCTAACTAAATTAGTGGAAAGCTGAAAAGTATAAATTATTATGCAAATTAGGTAATTATTATAGATTTATATAAACCTAAAACTAATTAGATCATCACATTGTGTTGTACAAATGTATATATGTACCAACATTCATTCAATTAAGATAAATACTATCACAACCCATCTATGTGCGAAGTCTCAATTTCAATGAAATGCGATCTGCGATCGATTAATTAGGTAATTAATATGCACTGATTTTAACCCAAAACTGGGCAGGTCTGTGCATTGTTCTAGAGCATCAATGTACCAAGTTTCATTGAAATGGAATAATCAGTACATGTGATATCAGTGTAAAAGCTGAAAATTGGCTAATTATGCAAATATGTAATTAATATGCACTGATTTCAACCCAAAACTAATCAGGTCTGTGCATTGTCCGAGAACATTTATGTATCAATATTTATTGAAATGGTATAATTAGTACTTGCGATATCAGTGTAAAGCTAAAAATTAACTATTAATTATGCAAATTAGTTGATTAGTATGCACACATATTCACCCAAAATTAATCAGGTCTCTGCATTGTTCAAGTTTCATTGAAAAATAATGAAGTGAAAGTACTTGAAATATCAAAAACTCAAAAAAAATTTATTATGCAAATTAGGTAATTAATATTTCCCACATCTGTCTGTGCATTGTCCTATGTATCTATGCAAGTTTCATTGTAATGTGATAAGTACTTGAGATATCAGTATGAAAAGTTGAAAAATGACAAATCATTATGCAAATTAGGTAATTAATATGGATGGGATTTCTACCCAAAACTAATTAGGTCTGCGCATTCTCCAAGAGCATCATCTAAGCAAAACGTTTCATCACATGGTTTTTGAGATATCGGTTGAACGGACACACACACACACATACATACAGACAGACAGGCTAACTGCAAAGACCATTGAGTCAAAAACAAACATAGACTCAAGTTTCGGCGTGATTTGTAGCCAGCTTATCTTTCCATTGTTTCGTGGGTCCGTGGGACATACAGTACTAGTATTAGACGGGGTAGACACACGAAATAATAGGAAAGTAACCAGAACAAGGAAACTAATTATTAGTAGTCAGCACATTTCAACTGCTTCGACGATGATTCGATTTGTTTCGTATACACAGATTTATCGTGAGGATATGAAGCCCCTCTTTACGAACATGGGTAACCACTAACTCATCTATACTCACCTTCGTTGTGGTGCTGGTTTTTCCATCGTTTAATAATGTTGCCAAGATTACCAACGAAGCTTTTGTCATTGCGAATGACGACAGATTTACCCCCAGTTGTACTGTTATTTTTACGATGAACACTTCCCCAGCGGACTTTGTGCAGCTCCCAGGCAGTTATAGTGTCGACGACTCCCTGCTTTTGGAGACGTTTAAACATATACAGTCGGCGATGACCAGAGTGTACGTACCACTGGCACTCGCCACGGACATCCCATTGAAACACTGATATCGTGCGAATATCGTCCACTGAGAGATCGCCGTACAGTAAGTCACGAAACGTAGCTAGCATTGGAATGCCGTTATTAAAGATCGGACTGATGGAATCCTGCAGATAGAGGATTTCCGACGGATACAGTTCAACAATCATGATTTCACAGTTAGAATCTTTCACACACGCTACTGAACGGGAAAGTGATGTTTCCGCATGCGCAGTGTAACTTAGTTTCTCAGCACCAGCTGACGTCACTTTTATTCCCGGACGTGTCTGAACAAGTCTTTGACAAGGCGGTTCCTTGTTATGGGAATAAACAGGCGTGCTTATCTGAAAAATAATTATGATGTTTGACTGTAAAACATTCCTTCATTCAGCAATTCACCCGGGCAGGGACATTTGCTGGTACAAGTAAGACATATGAGTATTCTGTAAATTCAAAAAACCACTGCCTTTCATAATAAAACTGTATTGAATTATTGCGATAGATCGATAGCTCAATTGGAAACAGAAAAAATGGCGTACGAAATTATGCGACAATAACTTGAAAGAACGACTGAACAGAAACTTTTTCAAGATACTAAGAATAAAAATCGTTGAAGCGATCACGGTACGGTGACGTGTTCCTAGTAGGTTTAGATTCTTCCACAGTCCCTCTATGATAGATAGAGATAGAGGGACTGTGATTCTTCCTAGTAGTTTAGATATCACTACAGAATAATTTTGCATGACAATAACTTAAAGCGAATAGGCTGTAACGCATTTAGCTGCCGTGTTTCCTGTTTATTCGAGATACTAACACCTAAATCATAATGATACCAATGCATTGTCTTTTCTACCTCCATTCTCAGACTCACGACTGTTTTTTTTTTCTCCCAGCTCAAAATTATCGTGCCATGTGAAGAAACAACACAAGCACGACATCGAAATTGTTTTCAGTCCATTTTTTTTTTCATACTAATTATAATTTTATTCGAGAGCACTGTTCCGTTCGGCTCTGGTCAAACTGAGTCGAACTCTGGCAGATCTCGGCTCTCGTTCGGCCCGACCGTATGAACGCAGTGGAGATAATCTCCTGTTGATCCGTGGGAGG